ACAGCAGTTACAATGGTCAAACTACATTAAAACAGAATTGTCCCCATTTTCTCTTTAATAGTTAGTAACATTAGATATTTTAATGAGATATGGACCGCAAAACAAAAAATGTCCCTGGTTTTCCTTTTATGAACTACCGAATGCAAGTAGTCGCCTTAGCTTATTTTGTTATGAGATGATAATGTGAATTACTCTTCAAATTAGTTAATGTAAAAATCGTTTGGTTTCTTTTACATTAAAAACAAGTTAGAATTTTCAAAAGGACTTATGTTTTTTTTCGGGGGGGGGGAGGCCCTTTTTCCAGTTTAGAGCAATAGCCCCTCCAAATGTCTGTGCACGTCCCTGCTGAGAACCATGTACAAAAGATATTTGTCAGACTTAGGTATAGATATTCCCAGGACTACAAAACGGTACCGGAGGACCCGTAAGGAGGCACAACGTGTGACAGGTAAGGACGGGTTTTCTCTTCATATTGGACGAACGGGATGAACTGCCAATTTAATATATTTCATTTGGTGTTTTTTTCTCACATTACTGTATTCAACGAATTATAGCAGAGTATACTACAAAATGTTGAAAGTTTTTTAGATTCACTTCGTGTATACTGCTATTATTCCTATTTTGATAGCAGTAGGGCAATATGTAAATTATGTTATAAAACATATAAAATCAATATTGACTCTAAAAAAGCTGACATATATAAACCAAACCTAGCTTTTTGCTGAGATGCCAAATTAAAATGCCCACAATCAATGTGTGTATACATGTCTGTGTAACAGCTGTGTGATTTTATCAACTTACAGACTCTGACTCATCCAGTGATGAAGCCTCAAATGAAGATCCAATGGTGGGTGAGAGTATAATGTATTACAGAGACAAAAGGTTGTGTTAGATTCATTAAAATCATAATATCAGGATAGTTATTGTGTAGCCTTTTGCTTTCTCTCAGGCTGATCACCATTCTGGCAGGACATCAGATGACAGAGGGGAGGATCCACATCATGAAATTGTATAGTTTTTTGCAGTGACTGTTCCACACACTTAAGAAATTGGACTCACTGGTGGACTTAACTATGACTATGACTCTGCTACTTGGTCACTGATATTTTTTTTAATGCATTGCCACTGTTGTGGATTCTACTGTCACTGCCACATGGTCATCGTTTGTCCGTCATGTACTGTCTTTGTATCCTGCTTGAATGCTCTTTTTATGATGCCTGCCTCAGGAATAGCCCCTCTTTCTTTTTTTTTTAAAGCCCCTCGCCTGCGGCCCCACCCTCCTCGACTCTTTGTTTGTAGATATCTAAACTAAAGCATACAAATAAAGAGAGTAATGTAGGCCTGTTATACTGAGTGATATCATACACACTGCTCTGCTTTCTGCACGGACCTCACAGCTGTTCAACTTCTCACTGTAAACATCGCGTCGCGATTCAAGCAGTTAATAAAATGATTCAGGGGATGCATGCAGAGCTGTCATTGGCTGAGATAAGTCCGGCCGTGCGTCACGACTCCTTTAAACATCGCTGTTGCCGGTGTTGTGTCAAATGATGCACCCCCGTCGTGAAATGCACCCCCTGGCCTGCCGTAAAAAGCACCCCCTCAAAAAAGATGCTTCTATTAATCCCACCCTCAAGCACTTTGGGGGGTATAGTTGTAGGACTAGTACCAATAAATGGAGCAAGTTTCATGTATGTGACACATTTATTGTCAGAGATAGCAAGGGGTGCATATCGTGGCAACCAGGCTGTTCATAAATAGCACCCCCCAAAATAAAAATGTTTCTATTAATCCCACCCTCAAGCACTTGATGTAAAAATAAACAATACATTGTAAAGCACAAGTACAAGCACAAGTATACAGACAGGACGTCACAATTAAATAAAAACATATATTAAATAAAAAATTAACTGAAAAATAAGTGACGAATGAATGCAAAATCCAGGATTCGACCACCCAACCATCAAAAAGACAACATAGAATAGCGGACTATACGTTCAAATGCGCGTTCCCGTGTCAAGGGGTGCATTTCACGACGGGGGTGCATAATTTGACACAACACCGGTAATACATCCGCGGAGGACCCATCAGTGTATCCTCGATTATAGCTCCTCCAGAGAGCCTCCTCGATGCTCGATCCTCGATCCTCGGTCCTCGATGTGCATTTAGAGAAATGAGGGCCCAATCCCAAACCACGCCCTACACCCTACCCCTCCGTTTGCGCGTTTGCGCGGAGGGTCGGCCACATTAAGTGCTGTTCCAAACCAACGAGTGTGGAGCGGTTTGGAGGGGGAGTGGGCTATCAAGCCATCAAACAGCGAGTCTGCATCGGTGCTGACTGGAGACCGGCCTCTACCTGACCGGTCTCAACGCTGTGTGTGTCCGTCAGGAAACAAGCTGTTAAACTGCGATGTTAACAACCTCATGATAACCTAATTTATTTATTATTTTTTACTTAGGATCATACCTGTGTTTAGTCTAGAAAAAGGTAAATGTGTGCATTTCATAAAGTTGTGTATATTTACAGATTGTTGCAAAAACTAAGAAGCTTATAAAAATCAGGTTTAAAACTAAAAGAGCTTTACAAAAAAGTAACACAATTAAAGATGTTTGGAGTTTTATTTGAGTTATTAATTTTTTTTTTGTCTAAGAGATGCTGATTTGAAACCGTTGTTACATACAGTTACGGCATTTCCTGTTTCTGGCGGAGAGAGGGGAGTTTGTCCCAAAGCTTGCCGCTGTACTTACTCCCTCCATCTGACAGGAGGGAGCCTCGTTGAGCTGCGAGTGTCATTCCACGGAGATCACTCCGTCACGGAGGGGGAGTGTGTAGGGGTAGGGTGTAGGGCGTGGTTTGGGATTGGGCCGAAATGTCCTTGTCGAGGAGTCGAGGAGGGGAAATTAGAGTATTGAGAATTCTCTAATTTCCCCTCCTCGACTCCTCGAATCCTCGGTCCTCCGGTAGTGACCCGGAAATGGATTTCAGCACGCCATGTTGAAGGACATCTCATTTCTCTAAATGCACATCGAGGACCGAGCATAGAGCATCGAGGAGGCTCTCTGGAGGAGCTATAACCGAGGATACACTGATGATTCCTCCACGGCTCCTCCGCGGATGCATTTCCGGGAACGGTGGAGGCGTGACGCACGGCCGGACTTATCTCAGCCAATAGGCGCATTCACACCGCAGTACTTTTCCCACAAAGGTTCATGAGAACTTAGTTCATGAGTACTCTTTAGTTCTCATGAACTAAGTACAGATCGCGTTCACACCGGAATAAGTCCCTGGGGGAGGATTAGGCAAATGAAGCCGCTGACGTCACTTCGTCTTCTTCTGCTTTGGGTTTACTGGCAGGCCGCAAACCACTTCACGGCGTATACTGCCACCCGAAGTCCCCGGCCGGAAGTCCCCGGAGTTAGGGACTGGCTTCAGTAGAAGCTGCTGGGACTCCCAGCAGCTTCTACTGAAGCCTTCCGAGTAAATCGCCAGAACGCCGACACCTCCTCATCTCCACCGCTCCCATGTTTTCTTTTGTGTTGCCATAAGTTAGTCTCTCTGCATTTGTGAACTGGGCTAATGCTAATAATGCTAATGCGAGGATAATAAAATGGCGGCTGCACAAAACTTTTTGGGAGTTTTACGGGGCGTGGTTTGCATTCCGCCCAGCCAATCAGACATAGGAACCTTTTTCTCCCACGAAAGTACCTGCTCTTTAGCAGGGATGGAAAAAGGGGTAAAAAAGGTTCTGATGAACTAATTTTTGTTCCGGCTCTTTTTGGTGTGAACGCGACATTTCGGAACTATATCGGAACTAAAGTGGGAAAAGTACTGCGGTGCACAGCAAATTCGCCAGTGTGAAAATCCTGGTGTTAGAGCTTTTCGGGGTAAAGTGTTGTGGTTTTGGTGTTACATTTAACATGATTAACACCGCCTGTTGTTAAAACACTATATAGTACAGGGTTGGATCATGGTGTTAAACATATTTAACGACGGATAGTGTGTTCTCTCAATCCGGGTACTTTTACGTGATGTACGTGAAATTATTTAGATCTCTGCCATCTTTTTGATGCAACCATCAGTCTCTCGAGAGTTATCGCTACGTTTCATAATTTGTTCCCCAGATAGCTTACATTGATTTTGCTTGAAAATACAGTTGTGTGTGTGGTAGGTAGCATAATTGTAAATGTATTGTTTTTATTACTAGCTTGCTAATTATTACTATTTGACTGTCATGACCAGGTGCAGGTGCACAGACCATACAGTCAATGCTTGCTTGCTAAACTAACTGTCGAATTAGATATGTATGTCGAATTAACGTTAGATATGTAACAGGAAATGTAATCATTACGAAGACCAATATATTGCACATGTCTATCGTTAGTTCGACAGCGAGCTAACAAGCTCTAGTGTCCGTAAAAAAGTTGTTCGATAATTGCCGCCTTTTCCTTTTCTAGCATGTTCTCCGTCAAGTCTCCGTCTAACGGAAGCAGTCCGTCTTGCAGCAAGTGTGATCGCTTGGCCTCGCCCTCGACAGACTGCAGTCAGTGAGTGACGGTAAGTTATCTAGATAACGTTACATTTAATTTGTTCCCCTGTTATCTAACATTACTTAATTTGAAAATAACGTTACAGTTGTGTAGTTGCTAATAATGTTTACTAGCTTGCTAAGAATATTTGTCTGTACTGGCCGTGCACCTGCTTGCTAAACGTTAGCTAGCTGGCTAGTTAGCTAGCCGGTTAGTTAGTTAGCTAGCTGGCTAGCTGTCGAATTAGACACGGATGTCAAATTAGATAACATTAGCTATGTTACATACTATTATGTCATTACAAACACCAACGTATTGCACATGTCTAACGATAGTTAGACAGCTAGCTAGCTAAGAGGTTCTGGTGTCGGTTCTTATCGGTATAGTTAGCCGACTTCGTGAACAACCTTTTTTTTTCCTATTTCCTTTCACTAGCACTATCTCAGTGTCACCTAAGCAGCCATCAGTCCCTGCAGGTTTCGACCGTGTGGTCTCGACAGACCGCGTGACTGTAAGTTATCTACGTTTCATTGAATTTGTTCCCCAAGTGAAATAATTTATGTGTATGTACAGTAATAAAGTTGTTGGCTAATTGGCTCCTTTTCCTTTCTAGCACGTGTTCTTCTGCTCCGTGCGGAAGCAGCCATCTTGTGTGGCCTCGACAACGACTGCATGCAGTGAGTTTTTCTTGTCACACAGAACGATTTTTTTTCTCTTGGAAGACCAGAAGCTGTGTGGTTCATAAACACATTTTCTTACTCAATATCTTACCCTTAGCCTAACTCTTTTATTTTAAATAGTATAATGTCGGAGAAAAAGAAATGGCTCAGAATACTGAAATCTGTATTTTTTGTCATCTTTTTTTCCTTCTAATTTGTTATTATTTGGTGCAGGCACGAAACATACTACCAATAGAAATACATTGCTTCTAAAATCGTTCTGTGTCAGAATACTGAAATCTGTATTTTTTTTTAAATCTCTTTTTCCTTCTAATTTGTTATTATTTACATTGCTTTTAAAATCGTTCTGTGTGACACGAAAAAAATGGGGAAATCGTGTTGGTGAACACGAATCAATAGATTACTTTTTTGACTATAACACGAAATGCCGTGACACTGGGTTGCAACACACCAACACTGTGCATAATTTGTTCCCGAAACGTATGTCATGCACAGATGGAAGCCTCTCAGCTTAAAGATACAAAAATAAAAGAACAGAGCATAAAGTAGAATTTATTTATCTAAAGACAGTTCCAATTTATATTATGCCACCCTTACACAATTTGAGTATTTGCTTGCTTAAGAAGGGGAAGTTGTGATGCATCATGTGAAAAATCTAATAACTTGTGGAATAACAAATGTTGTATCTCCATTTTACCCATATAGGGCTCTTGCTCTTCTCTTCAGCTGAAGATGATAGTCAAAGTGCAATACCGAAACCAAAAGAAGTACATCAAAATTCCAGAAGCTTGTTTTGACATCTTCATCACTGAAGGCAAGTAAACCACTTTACTGCATATGAATCAGAATACCTTTATTAGTCCCACAGAGGGGAATTTTGCGATCCACTCTCATTAACCTACTGTTACGTTAGATGGACATGATGCACTATTGAGGCAGTTTCCCCCCCCCCGTGTGTGTGTGTGTGTGTGTGTGTGTGTGTGTGTGTGTGTGTGTGTGTGTGTGTGTGTGTGTGTGTGTGTGTGTGTGTGTGTATGTGTGTGTGGTTTAAGCTTATATTTGGTCTTCAATCCTTTTAGTAAAAGAGAGGTTTTCCATCCCTGTGGACAACATCTTATCAGTGGAGGATGACACTGGCACAGAAGTGGACGACTACGCATTTCCAGATCTACTGACTACCAGTGGAATATGCTTTGTCATCAAAGATGAACTGAATGACAGTGGTGGTGAGTGACGACAATAGACCCTTTTCTCAGCAGCTATTTTGACGTCATAGCAGGGTAAACACAGGTGTCATAGATCAAATGAATTATGGCCCCGATCTATTTAGTGTGTCACAGCCATTCCAGTGAGACAGCATATTATCAGGGCCCTGGCCTGCCTACATCCTAAATTACATCTCTGTTTACGCAGCATGTCAACATGGCTGCTGAGAAAAGTGTGGTGTGATTGACACGTGCATGGGTAAAGGCATACTCAACTGATTTAGTGAAAATACATAATTTTGTACTTACTTGGGGGTCTTGTTGAAAGCCTTGTTCTTAAGCTTTTGCTAGACTAAAAACCACCATTGCTGTCTAAGTATTGGTCCCAAGTAGAGTGCGCTCTTGTGGACAACGACTTTGGGACTCATACTTGCGATGGAGGTTTTCAGTGGGTTTGTTGTCTTTTTGAGAACACTTCACCAGTAGATTACATAAAGACATGACAAAGGAAGACCATATAATTTCAATATTCATATTTAATATCTCTTGTGTGATGACATTATTTTCCAGAGCCATCCTCATCCTCCGCTTCAGGCACAGATACTCTTTCAGTCACTTCGAAAAGCAGCAGTGAAAACGATTTCTACAGTGGCACTCTGAAACGCTTCAGAAAAGAGGAGGAGGCTTTGCAGGGTCCACAAGCCAAAAATGTGAGTTTTACATTTTAGTGACGTCTGTCCATCCGTGTGTCTGTACCAGTAGATTGCTCATAAACCTATACTGCTTACTTAACGGGTGCCATTTTTGTTGTGTTTTGTTTTAAGCTGATAAAACAGGTTCTGCTGACCAAACCAGTAGGAAGTGATGTGCTGAAGGAGTATGAGGAAAAAGGAACAATTAGTCCTGCCACAAGAAAAGTGATGGTGAACATTCTAGTTGCAGACATGGTGCAGAGTGAGGGGTAAGATTCAAATTTGTTATAGCTTTGCATGAAAGTGTCATGTATGTATAGGTTAAGTGTGGATGAAGTTGGTGCAATTGTATTTCTACATAAATTGAGTTCATTAAGTTTATATGTTCTAAAACGAAGTCTCAGTGGCGTTTTTATATGTACAAAAGTGGTGGGGCACAAAAACCGTAGATGTTTATATATATATATATATATGTGCAGTGAGGTTCATGGCTGGTGAGGCACTGGCACTGACTCTTCAGGTTTACAAATATTATATTTTGACCTAAATCAAAATATAATATTATTTTCAAAAGCTTTTTTAGTCTGATGCTTCGATTAATTTTAAACAGACAGTTCAACAAAAGGATACCCAAAAAATGTAATTTGACCATTTAAATATTGAATTGTTCTCTCTTAGTAAGATCCCATTTTCAATAAAATTGTGGTCTTACCTTGACTTGAAGATTAAGTCCATTTGCCTATCCTTCTGGACAAAAATCTCTATTACTTTTTTGTAAAAGTCCTCCTTATCTTCTTGTAGTTTCAAAAGTCTATCATATATCTAATCGATAGATTTATGATTAAAAAATTATAAAAGTAGGGTAGACATGTGGATATTATCCGGCTGAACAAAAAGTGCATTTATCTAACAGGTACGTTTCCCACAGATCTTATTTCAAGCTATTTTCTAAAATCCTCTGGAGAAATCTCATTGCTTTTTTGTCGAGGGAAGCCATGCGCAGCTTACTTCCGGGTTTTAGGACGCGTCACTGCACCTCTCTCGTCTCCTCTTCACACACCACACTTTTCGCGGCACACGTACTTACAGCCAATCAGCTCTGAATTATGTGAGATGACGTATGGTGGGGATGGCAGCTCAGTGCCCCTATGGTCATTCTATTTTTGCCACACACATTAAATGGGAAAATACTCTGAGCATGCGCAGTGTAGTTTTTACAGTCACCGTTCACTTAGACAGTGAGAGGGAGGGGCATGATCGGGTTTTGTCCCACATGGCTCAAAACGGCTCAATAGGCACACACTGTAGACACTAATTAGAAGAACACAGACTAAAACAGCAATGTACAGACGAATCAGATGATTAAACATGATCTTAAAATATATTTTATATATTTATATATTTATTTATTTATTTTATTTTTTTGTAATCATTATTTTTAATACTTTCTGCTGACACTAGGTGGGGCTGTGCCCCACCTGCCCCTAATGACCAGTCGCCACTGCTCTTAGACTAAAATGAATGAAATGTTGAAAATGACTTTTTGCTCTACAGGAGAATCCCTCAGCGACTGACCAAAGAGAAGTATGCACTGGGGATTGTTACCCTGTTTCCCTCGCTCCAAGATCCACATGGGAAGACAGGATATGTGAGTTATTCTTGATTATGATCAAAGTAGACTGTTTTAGATGGCTTACATGGTTCCTTGAATGCTGTGGGATTTATACTGTAGGGTAGTTTAATTCATTTGGGCGGCTGTGGCTCAGGAGGTAGAGCGGATAGTCCAATGACTGCAGGGTTGGTGGTTCAAATCCCGGCTCCTCCTGTCCACATGTCAAATGGCGCATTTCCACTACACGGTCGGCCTCGGCCACACTCGGTACGGCTCGGTACGGCTTGGCCGCGTTGGGCCTTAACAGGGCCGACTCACTTCATGCTGCGCTTCCATTACAGTTTAGGAACTGGGGTAGTTACTATAGTAACGCAGTGTAGGCGGAGCCGTGACGTCATCTTCAATGAGAAATCCAGAAACACAACACAGCCGTTAGCTGTTAGCACTCAGAGCTCACAGCTCCTTATATATGTTCAGAAACTCGACAAAAGTTAAACAAGTACACACCACAGACTGCCTGTGTCATGGTGAATACAGTCGCTGCTTTATTTATGTCTGTATAGGCCGTTGTTGTGAGTGTGGACGGTCGGGGCATATACTGCGTTAGCTTAGCCAATCTCCATCTAGAAAAACACGAATTTTAAAAGGTATTTCGCCTGCCGTCTGTCTGCAGACTTGACAAAGCATTAATTCATGGTTTTTACTAACCGGTATCAGTATGTTGTTACTTCGGCATCATTTTGAAACGTGTATTACAATTAAATCACGGTCAAATATGTCCATCTTGTTGTAGTTCTAGCCCTCTTGCCAGCGCTCCTCTCTCTAGTTTAGCATACTCAGCCCGACTCAGCCCTGTTTGTTGGCCCCGATAGAACCACAATTTTCTAGGGCCAGAAAAGAGGTGAAAAAGTGGCCCCGCGCCGTGCCGCGCCGGTAATTGGCCTAGTGGAAGCACAACCAAAAAAGGGGACGGCACGACACGGCACGCTTAAAGCGAGCTCCGCGCTGCAGTGGAACTGCGCCAAAAGTGTCCTTAGGCAAGTGTAAGACACTGAACCCCGATTTGCTCCCAATGAGCAGGCCTGCACCTTGCATGGCAGCTGCCGCCATTGGTTATGTGAATGTTTGTGTCAATGGGTGAATTGTCAATTTTATCCAAAGCGCTATATACAGTAAGTGCAGTCCATGTACCATTCCTCTTATTTCCTTTTTGGTCAAGAGCATTTTTATGACGGGCAGAAAGGCGGTGGGTTTCTAGCGTGGCGACTGAAGTCCGTTCAGAGAGCAACACGACTTCCTGTGAGGTCCAAGGATTCCAGAATAGAAGAGAATGGAGGCCCCATGCTAAGGAGAGAGATAGGCCACTGTGATGATCATCCAGATGAGCAGAGATTTCAAGAGCTCATATCTGTGATGAATCATACAAACGACAGAGAAGTCATCATGAAGAAGATATAGACAGCGCCTTGTCCACGATCCTGACAGATCCTCCACTGTCCTTTCAGTATTCCCGCGCCTGCTGGACACTAAAGGATTGGTAATATTTTATTTGTTGCTTATTATGAATGTTATTTATTAGTAAATCTATTTTGATAGACGTTTTAAGCAACCTTCAGTTAAATGGAGATGATCTACACCTGTGAAATTGGCATTAGTAGTAAATTGAAAACCTGATGGTGGTTCTTGCGTTTGTGCTGTATATGTGTTTTAGATTCTCCAAGACTTCAGTCTCCTCTTTGGGTCAGAAACTCCATCCAAACTACTGGAAAAGTGGCCAACCTCCTTCAAAGCAAAGGTCATCCAACAGGCAGAAATGCTGACTTCCACACCCTTGCTGAAGCGCTTGTTGTTGTCTGCCAAGAACCAAAGGGGTGATGAACCATCACTGGAATCACCAGGTATGGTTTTAGGAACTGCATTGTCATATCATGTCATATTGCCTATTGTAAATTGTCTATGTGAGGCTGGAGGGAGTGTATGACCACACAGTTGGAGAATTTTTTTATACAGTCTATGGTTGCTACAAAGGATTGTAGGTAATGTCCGTCGAACTTCCGGGTTCCTCCATGGGACGTTATTTCGGAAAAAGTATGCATTGAAGTCAATGGAGAGAGAAAGATTATCTTTCGATCCCGTTTGAATTGTGCCACGAATTACACATATGATGTTTGTCAATCTTAAATAATAATTTCCATGTCAAAAAGTCACAGTTTGTCGTAAAACTGTTGAAATATAAGACTATGAAATGTGTGTGTATGTACAGCTCTCAACATGCCCAGA